CAAGCCTGTCTCCTGAGATGCTTGGCAGTCCTGGAGAAAGACCAGAGTGGAGGGTCTGTGAGTCCACGCACATGGCCAGCCGCAGAGAGGCCAAAGTTCCATCAGGACAAACCGACCAGGACACATACCACATCCATGGGACACACACAAGCAGAGAAAGCTATCTGGACCTGGCTGGTTCCATGGGAGTGGACAGAGAGGGCAACTCAAGAACTGGGTGGATGGATCAGCTGCACCCTTTCCATTTTTACAGAGAACCGAAGCGCTGAACCTCCTCAAAAGAGCCACCAACGCACAAAGAAGGCCCCGGGGCCCAGAAGACCATCTCCCCCACCCACAGTCTGTGGGCTGCACGGTGGCTAATGGCCCCGCCAGGCCCTTCCTAGGATGTCCTCAGACAAAGAGAGATGGAAACACTCAACCTTAAAAAAAAAATTATAATAATAATCCTGTAGAAATGGTCTCAGCGTGTGTGTGTGTCCAAAACAGCCTGCAGGTAGAAACAGCCCTAAAAACGCCAAAACAGATGAGCGAGCCAGCACAACAGGGGCTACGAATACAAAGGAATGTTATCAGGTTGAAAAAAAAATGAGCCAGCTGGACTCCCAGCCAACTGTGTGTGCCTCCAAAGACAGGGCACACGGAGTAGGGCTCCGCAGAGGCGAAGCTGAGGGTGCCCGGCGGCCGTGGTGCGGGGTGAAGGCTACACTCGGTGCTGAAGAGGGACAGAGTTTCAATTTGGGAAGACGGTAAGTTCTGGAAAACCCTCGTGATGGTGAACCTCCGTGACTTCCGACCCTGTCCCAGCGCTGCCCCCGGGGGCTAGGACCTGCTGGCCTGGTCCCATCTAAGGTCGCAAGTTTGATCTGGGGGCCTCTTACCCCAGGGGCACTCAGCCTTTTGGGGGGTTCTCGTGGCTCTCCTGACTAGAGAAGCTCTTGACGCAGAGTGCCCAGGCACTGATCCCCGCAGGGCCCAGGAGAGCCCCTCGAGCACCCCAACTCAGGATGCTAGTGCCATACCCAACCATTTTTGGGTGACGTGGAGGTGCCTGGAGACTCAGGGGCTCTGGCCACATCCTTTACCTAGCCAAGGAATACTCTTCCAGACTCCCACCGGGCCCTGCCCCTGGTCCCCTGAGAACCCAGACCTGCTTCTCCACCCCAGCATAATTATTTGAGGAGGATTAAACCTTTTTTCATGTATGTATACACGCATGGCGGCGGAGGAGGATGCTGGCCATCTTCCTCCATCTCTCGCTACCTTGGCTCCTTGGGACAAGCTTTCTCACTGAACATGGAGCTGGGCTGGAGGGAGGCCAGCAGCCGCTCAGAACCTCCCATTGCCCCCAGCACTGGGGCACTGGGGTCTGTGTGGCCTGGCTCCTCATGAAGGCTCTTGACATTCCAACTCATTCCTCTCGGGCATGCAGCAAGCACTCTTAGCCGCCGAATGTCCCCAGTCCTCTGTTTCAGTTCTTCAGGCAGGGTCCCACTGTGTAGCTCAGGCCGCATAGGGCCCTGAGTGCTGGGATGGCGGGCAGGTCAATCCCACAAACCTATAATGTGCCCGAGGCCTGAGATCACCCATGCTTCCAAATGCTGGAAGGGCGGACAGTCCTGCGGTCCACCCTCACCCTGCCCCAGGCCACACACACACACACACAATAGCCTGACCACGTGGATCTGGGACCTGGCACGGGTTCTGAGATTCAAAACAGGCTGACAAGGAGCCTTTGTTGGAAGAAGGAATGTTCCCAGAGCAGAGAGCAACAGGATGGGGGAGGAGCTCCGCCCAGCTGAGGGTGGAGCATGGGCCTCTGCAAGAGGACTCAACCCCGCTCTGGAGGCTTTGGGCTAAAGATCAGCACAAGGAAATAGATAAATTCACGCCTTCCCCCTCAAAGAGAAAAAGCCCACGTTCAGGTTAGTAAGTCACCTATGAACAGGACAAAGTCACTTCGGGTCACAGTTCACAAACACTGACAGAAACAGTCCAGGTGTCTACAAATGGACAGTGGAATATCACACAGCTCTGAACAAGAGCCAGGCTCCGATGGACCCACGGACATGGAGCCCAGCGAAGACCAGGGCGCAGAGGCTCGCACAGAGCCGGAGAAAGCAGCCCGGGAGGGGATCTGTGGGCGTGGGGGCTGGGGAGGAGGGGGGAGACGGCGAGCTAGGCTGTGGCATCAGACTGTCATGCACGGATCGGGCTGCACAGGGAGAGGAGCTGGGGGACCTGGATTATTATTCTTAAAGTGGTGAATTTTAAAATATGCAAATCAGACCCGGATTTAAAACAGGGAAAGCGATCAGCTCATCGGCTCTCCAGAAGCCTCGGGAGGAGCCGCAACCATCTGAGAAGGCTCTGACGGCCTGTCCTCCCCCGGCCCCCGCAGGAGCCTCCCTCCCAGGACGGGCCTCCCAGGAGCCGGGGAGAAAGGGCCGGTCGGCCCGGGAGACTGAGGATGGGCTGAGCAGTCGGCCACCGTGGACGCCCTCGCCTCCTAGTGTGGGAGGAGGCCCCGGGTGCCACCAGAGCCTGGGCTAGCCTGGGTCAGCCATCAAGGGACTCGGCTGTGGGATGGACCTTCACAGAGGGAAAGCAAGCAAGCAGTGATGAGCCAGGTGTTGCCCAGGCCGGCCCGGAACCCACCACGTAGCCCAGGCTGGCCTCAAGCTCACAGAGATCCACCTGCTTCTGGGATTGCGTTATTTTTTTTTTCCCGAGGCGCTGGCGCACCCGGGCGGTATCTCCAAGCCAGAGAGTGTCATTTAGTCACTATTTCTAGACACAAAGGGCCACCCTGTGCCAGCGCCTCTCCTGTCACTACCTGCTGCGCCGGAGAAAAGCGAGGAGGGGCCACCTTCTCCCGGCTGCAGTTCCGCACGCCTGACCCCACGCCTGACCCCACGCCCGGGACTCAGCAGGGGACCCCAGGATCCTCCATGGCACGAGCCAACTGTAGGTGCAGGCGGACTTCACCACCTGGGATGCAGGATCAGTCAACTCACAATTTCAAAGTCCACACGGGACTGGATGTGATGGCCACGCCACCAAGCCCGGCACTCAGGGAGTTCAGGGCCAGCCTGGGCTACATAGTGAGGTCCTGTCTCAAAAAAAAAATAAAAAAAGGAAGAAAAGGGAAGGGGAGGTACGCAGAGCCTAGTGTGGTGACCCATCCCTGCCCTGCCAGGGCCAGGGGTTCAAGGTCATCCTCAGCTACACAGGTTGTTGGAGGTAGCCTGGGCTACGGGAGGCCTTGTCTCAAAAAAACAAAACAAGCCACCAGGAAGAAGCAGCCGGGTGTCTGGGCGACACGGCCCGTATCCCACGCTGGAGAGGCCGAGGCAGGAGCGTGGACACACCCTCAGCCCAGAGTCTCCGAGGGAGCCAGGCAGGTGCTCCCCGCTGGGGTCCGACCAGCCCGGTGCCTTCAGGCGACAGTAGGGACCTCGGGCAGTCCCCGGCTCCCGCCAGCCCTCACCTCCCTGACTTGGGGGCCACTCATGTCCCTGGCTGTGCCCCAGGGTTCCCCGAGGTGACCCAGGCCAGGAGACCGGTTTACACTGAACCGCAAGCCAACCGGTCCCTGAGGACGGGGACACCGTGCCCGCCGCCCCCAGAGTGGTCATCCAGCTCGTTCCCCAAGGCGGTGCAGTGGGGGTCAAGGGCGACCCTGGCAGTCTTTGGGCGACAGCCCACCTCCTCACACTCACTGGCCCTCACGTCACACCAGGCTGGGCTCAGCCCGTGCCTGCCCTGGCCGGAAGGGAACCCACCCAGCCGCTGCTGCCCTGGCCACCACGCCTGAGGGGCACGGCCGGGTGAGCCTGGCGCCCGGTGCCCGGTCCACGGAGGCCCACCGTCCCCCCCCCCCGGGCCGCCCACACACCTTGACACCGTGACCCCGAAAACTCCCACAGGAAGTTTCTGAAACTGTCAGCCCGCGGGGCTCTGTGCACCCCAAGATGTCAGCCCGTGTGCCCTGTGTCCCGGGAGGGCCACCCAGGACCTCCCCAGTGCCTCCACGCCCGCGTGTCCCCCACTCCCCCCGACGGAACCCCACTCCTCCAGACCGAACCCCACTCCTCCAGACCGAACCCCACTCCTCCAGACCGAACCCCACTCCCCCTGACGGAACCCCACTCCTCCAGACCGAACCCCACTCCTCCAGACCGAACCCCACTCCTCCAGACCGAACCCCACTCCCCTGACTGAACCCCACTCCCCCGACTGAACCCCACTCCCCCCGACGGAACCCCACTCTTCCAGACCGAACCCCACTCCTCCAGACCGAACCCCACTCCTCCA